CCCACACAAGGCCAAGTGGGCAGCAGGTGGCAGCTCCCGTCCCAGAAGCCAGAGTTCAGGATGAGGCAGGGAGGATGAGAAGGGGCTGGGGTGGCGGTGAGAGCTGCTGTGTGGACCGCAAGTGCCCAGCAGGTGGCGCCGCGTGCTCAGAGGAGGAAAGACTGGGCCGGCCCCTCCCTGCAGTTCCGGCCGTGCTGGGCCAGGCCTGGGAATCTGTATTCCCCACCTTGCCTGGAGGCTGCTGGTGGGGCTCTGAGGGCAGGGGGAACCATGGCTTAGCTGAGGTTGCGATGCCATCCCCCAGAGCCGGGGCAGACAGCGGCTACAGGAGGGGGCCTGGGGCTTCTTGCCGCAGGAAAGTGGGTCAGGCGTGCCCTCCACAGGACCCGAACTGCATGAGCCAGGCTTCGGTCATGGTGCTGTGAGTTGTGCCAGGAACTCTGAAGAACAAGCACGGGGCTGCAAGGGTGTCCTTCTTCCCCACTCTTTGGGGCTGCACCCCTGGGCCTGGGAAAGGTGGGATTTGGAAGGGGTGAGAAACCGCCTACCATCATCACCAGCCAGTGTCCAGGGACTGCTCGGGTTGTACAAGGCTGGGAAGTGGGGTCCTAGAGGCCTGCATGGGGGAGGCAGGGGGTGCATGGTGGGGGGGGCGGTTACAGCTCTGAGCCTCCAACCTCAGCACAGTGACATCATCAGGGCAACCTCCAGCCTCTAGGGGCCGAGATGAGGAGACCCTGTCCTGGGGTCCCTCCTTGGGATGCACAGAGTCCAGGTGCCTTTTTATTTTGTTTATTTATTTATTTTGAGATGGAGTCTTGCTCTGTTGCCCAGGCTGGAGTGTAATGGCACAATCTCAGCTCACTTCAGCTTCCACCTCCTGAGTTCAAGCAATTCTCCTGCCTCAGTCTCCCAAGTAGCTGGGATTACAGGCACCCGCCACCGTGCATGGCTAACTTTTGTATTATTAGTAGAGATGGGGTTTCACCATGTTGGCCAGGCTGGTCCCAAACTCCTGACCTCAAGTGATCCACCCACTTTGGGCTCCCAAAGTGCTGGGATTACAGGTGTAAGCCACCACACCCAGCCCTATTTTATTTTTATTTATTATTAGATGAGGTCTTGCTGTTTCCTCGGCTGGTCTGAAACTCCTGGCCTCAAGTGATCCTCCTGCCTTGACCTCCCAAAGGGCTGGGAGCAGAGGCACGAGCCACCAAGCACAGCCCTTCTGTTTTTTAAAAAAATTAAAGAGGTCAGGCACAGTGGCTCATGCCTGTACTCCCAGCAGTTTGGGAGGCCAAGGCAGGAGGATCACCTGAGGCCAGGAGTTTGAGACCAGCCTGGGCAACATGGCAAAACCTTGTCTCTACTAAAAACACAAAAATTCGCCAGGTGTGGTGGCACACACCTCTTATCCCACCTACTTGGAAGGCTGAAGTGGGAGAATCTGTTGAACCTGGGAGGCAGAGGTTGCAGTGAGCTGAGATTGCACCACTGCACTCCAGCCTGGGCAACAAAGCAAGACTGTCTCAAAAAAAAAAAAAAAAAAAAAAAAAAAGGCCGGGCGCGGTGGTTCAAGCCTGTAATCCCAGCACTTTGGGAGGCCGAGACGGGCAGATCACGAGGTCAGGAGATTGAGACCATCCTGGCTAACATGGTGAAACCCCATCTCTACTAAAAAATACAAAAAACTAGCCGGGCGAGGTGACAGGCACCTGTAGTCCCAGCTACTCGGGAGGCTGAGGCAGGAGAATGGCGTAAACCTGGGAGGCGGAGCTTGCAGTGAGCTGAGATCCGGCCACTGCACTCCGGCCTGGGCGAAAGAGGGAGACTCCGTCTCAAAAAAAAAAAAAAAAAAAAAATTCAGAGACAGGATCTCACTCTGTCACCCAGGCTGGAGTGCAGTGGTGCAATCATGGCTCACTGCAGCCTCGAACTCCTGGGCTCAAGCAATCCTCCCCGCTCAGGTTCCTGAGACGCTAAGACGACAGGTGTGTGCCACCTGCTTGTCTAATTTTTAATTTTCTTGTAGAGATGGGGTCTCACTATGTTGCCCAGGCTGGTCTCAAACTCCTGGCCCCAAGCAATCCTTCCACCTTGGCCTCCCAAAATACCGGGATTACAGGTGTGAGCCACCACACCTGGCCCCAAGTGCCTTCTTGCGTGTCCAATTCTGGACTCAGAAGGTGGGGCTGGGCTCAGAAGCAGGGGGTCACCCCGGAGAATATTTGAGAAGGCTGAGGCTGGGTGGGTACATGGGCCCAGTAGGCAGCAAGACTTGCCCATCGGTCTGACAGACACGAAGATGGACCTAGCCCTGGCCCCTCCTTTCCCTCTGACCCCAGGCCCATGCGGCAAGACTGGCTAAGTCTCATAGCAGCCCGGCCCCTGGCCCCTCTGAGCCCGTGGAAAGCCCTAGTTGCCTGTGACTGGGGAGGGGGCATCACGAGACCCAACTCCATTGCTTGTCTTCCCTCCCAGGCTTCCAATCCTCCCAGCGGATCCCACCTCTGCAACTTTGCCCAGGCTGTGCCGAGACCTGGAAGGCCCCTCCTCTCCCTACTCCAGCTTGACAAAGCCTTCCTGCTTCGGCTCAGGGGCACCTCTTCCAGGAAGTTGGCCCTGATTACCCCAGTGGAAGGGAAGTTCCTTTCAACTGAGCGGGGAGGTGCCCCACCCTCGCAGCCCCTCCCAGACCCCAAGCAGCCTTGGGGCTCCCCAGGCACTCCCCTGGCAGAACGGAAGCAGGGGTGGGGGCTGAGGTCTGCCACCCTGGCTGAGCACCCAGCAGCCCCTGTGGTTGCAGTTTTACTTGTGTTGAAAGCCTCATAAATGATCAGTAGTTTGGGAAGGGGGGGCCTGGCTAGGCTAGACTGGGGGGGACATGGAGCCCCAGGGACCAGCCAGGCCCCTTTCTGACCAGCCTCTAATCTGGTGTGATGGCACCACTTGGGGGTGGGACACAGCTGTCCCCAGAATGTACCTGGGGGAGGAATGAGTTCATCTCCCCCGCTGGGTGAGTCACCTTCTGGGGGGTGGGGGGCGGTGGATGGAAGAGGTCAGGCTACCTCATTCCCCTAAGACACTGCTGGGCCTGCTTCCCCTTTTGAGGGCAGAGAAATGTCCCTCCCTCAGCTTGGAAGAGGAAGGGGCCCAGATGCGTCAGCCCGTGCACCTCCCAAGACGCCCCCTGACCTCCAGCACCTGGGGACTGCATTTACCTTTGTTCCCATTTCTCAGATGGAGAGGTCGAGGCCCTGGGAGGGGCCGGGCTTCCTCCCCACCCCACTTCTTGCTCCTCTGCTCTCCCCAGTGCCCACTCAGCCCCCACTCCCACTCCACTCCACACACAGGGACATCTGAACATTAATGGGGACTCCCCAAGCCCTGGCGGGGCCGCCACAGCTGTGTCCATGGGTCTCTCTGATCCCTGGGTCCAGCCACACCTCCAACCCCAGGGCCCCACCAGCTCCGTGGGAAGGCAAGGCCAGCTGCAGGCGGGGGCAGCGTTGGGGCCAGGGCAGAAGGCCCCAAGCCTCTGACTCAGCCGGGCAGGAAGGAGGCCAGGAGCCTCTGCCCGCAGCCTGTTCCGTCAAGACACCCCCCGCCGCCCCACCCCGGAGTCTCAGCTTCCTTGTTCAGAAGAGGGGCCTGCACTGTCCTGTGGGAAGTGGGTGGGCACGTGGTGGGTGCCCAGGGAGGATCACAGCCACCCAGACGGGGGTTAGGCTGTGTGATGGTGAGGGCCCTCCATCCTCCCGCCATCCCCATCACTGCCCACACCCCCTGGGCAGCTGCTCTGCTGACTCAGAACCGGCCAAGGCCAAGGTGGGGTCACAACCCTGCCAGCCGCCCCCAAGGCCAGGGCAGCCCCCAGCCAGGTTTAGAGTGAGGGGTCTCTGCAGGCCCATTCAGCACATCAGCACTCATCTGGAAGGGGCAGCGATGGGGGAGGGCAAGGTACCCCCACAAAGAGAGACACTTCTCACAGTGTGTTGTCTCCTTGGAGCAGAATAGGGGACGCAGAGGCAGCAGGAGGGGGACCTGGAGCCCTGGGGAAGGGGGTCAGTCCAGAGCAGGAACTTGCAGGGGGAACGGCCAGGGCAGTGCCAGGCTAAGGGTGCAAGCCCCAGGGAGGGGGTGGGGGCTCATGGTGAAGAGGAAGTGAGCCGCCCCAGGGCTGCCAGGAGGGTGAGGGGAGGGAATCCCCGCGGAGGTTGCGGCACCCCTCCCCTCCTCAGTCACCCTCAAAGGCTGGATTTGAGGAAGGAAAAGCACTGCAGAGCTGCTGTGTTTAGAAAACAAGGGTCTGGATCTCTGCAGGGGCTGGGACCAGCTGCAGTGGGGGGCTCTGGCACGGCTCCTGCTCTCCAGGACTCCTCCCACCACCCCTGAGCGGGCGCCGGGCCTGGGGCCACCTCACAGGAGAGGGAGGCACAGCGTTACCAGCTGCGGGGCGGCTGGACCCACGGCCTGCCTGGCTTGGAGTCTGAGCACCTCCCCAGCCCACCAGCCTGGCTACCGGACCTTGGACATCAGCTGCTCCGGGCCTCAGTCTCCCCACCTGTAAAGTGAGGCGATGGTGTGGACTCTGCGAGCTTGTGGCAGGAGTGAAGGTGGATAAGGAGGTCCCAGGCCTGGTCATAGGAGTCACTGTCCCTCCTGCAGGGGCTGGGCTCCCCAGTGGCCAGAGCCTTGGGGTTGCACTCTTGGCTGCGACCTAGAGCCCCCAGCATCCTAGACCTGTTCCTCCCAGAAGCACAGGGCCCACCCACCAGTGGCCACCTGACCCTGGGCGGGCCACACCTGTAGTCACCGGCAGGCAGCTATTGTGACGCCAGGTTTCATTCCAAAACAGTTGTCTCTAAGGGTTTCCTATCTACCTGCTCCATGCGGTGCACCCAAGGCCAAGCCTCCCCTTCACCTGTGTGCCTGACCCCCCTCCCCGAGCTGCCCTGCGGCTTAGGCCCCACCTTCAGCCAAGACCACGACCCCCAGGGTTGCTGCAAAGAGCACCTTTATTCACAGCAAAAGGACGTCACCATAGCAACAACACTTAAATTCCCTGAGAACTTTTCCCTTATCATTCGCTTTCCTAGCTATGTCTTTGCAAAGAGAAAAACGACAAGAAACACACCCCACGGGGCAGGTGAGCCACACTGGGCCCCGCAGGGAGGTGGCAGCTACGCAGGGGGAGGGCAGGGATGGGAGGTTCCAGATGCTGGAACGCATAAATACACAGAGTGCCAGATAGTCCCACTTCAGCTTCAACAACAAAGATGACCCCGAGTTTGGCTTCCGTTTTTTCTGATCCACAGAAAAGATAAGATAAAATAAGACCCTCCCCCACCCCCATCCCCCAAGCAAAAAAACAAGAACACCCTACTTTTTACCCACCCCCTTTCAAAAAAACAGCACAGTAAAAAAATACTGTCACAATATTTACAGACACGCCCACTGTGGGCGACTTGCTCTCTACTTTGGAGAGGAGATTAAATGTTGAGCTCTGACTCACCCTGTCCTGGGGAGGCAAAGGGAAGACCTCTGAGGGGGCCTGGAAGACTCCCCACCCAGAAGAGCTGGAAGGGGAGCCACTGTTTGGACAGCCAGCCACTGGGGGCTTTGTGGGGCCACTGGGGGCTTTGTGGGGCCACTGGAACTGGGCGGTGGCTACTGTTACTCTAAGCCACAGTGCCCAGGCCAGAAGGAAGGGGATTGGGTCATGCACCCCCAGACCCAGCCTCCCCTGCAATGAACACGGCTCAGTGAGTTGGACTTGGGGCTATGACACAGGAGTCAGGATTTCAGGGTGCAGGTACCCCCAGCACAGAGCTTGTGCTCGGCAGAAAGAGAAAGGCATCTACGCATCCCTGCAAAGTAGCCCGGAGCCCTGCAGCTGCAGAAAGATCCAAAAATCGGTAGGGTGTGCTGGCTCAAGCCTGTAATCCCAGCACTTTGGGAGGCCAAGATGGGCAGATCACGAGATCAGGAGATCAAGACCATCCTGGCTAACACGGTGAAACCCCGTCTCTACTAAAAAAATACCAAAAACTAGCCGGGCGAGGTGGCGGCGCCTGTAGTCCCAGCTACTCAGGAGGCTGAGGCAGGAGAATGGCGGGAACCCAGGAGGCGGAGCTTGCAGTGAGCTGAGATCCGGCCACTGCACTCCAGCCTGGGCAACAGAGCGAGACTCCGTCTCAAAAAAAAAAAGATCCAAAAATCATCAGAGTGGCCTCCAACACACAAATCCTCCCTCCAAGCAGGCCTTGCAGCCCACTGGCTCTCGGAGCAGAGGCACATAAGTGGCACTTGTGCCCGCCCCTCCACAGAGCAGAACTGCCCAGCAGCCTGCTACCTGGGTGGGCATACAGTACACACACACACGCATACACACACACACACATGCACACGCACACGCACAGGCACGGCCCTGGGGGAGCCTCGAATGCCGAGGCCAGGGCAGCGCAACAGGGTCACTGGGCCCTTTGGATACCAGGGGCACCCAGGGGTTGGGTCTCAGCCATGGCTGCTAGAAGATGGCAGTTTGGGGACACCAGGGTGTGTCCGGGTACAGGTGGCAGTGGATGGAGCGGAACCTGTGGGAACAGAGCAGGGGCTGGTCTGTGTGGGTGGCAGGAAGGTGCTGAGCTCCCATTTGCAGTCCCACAGCACTGGCGGCCCCACCCCAAGCAAACAGGACTCCGGGGGGGTCACCTCTGTGTAGAGTCATGCTGCTTAGACCCCGCTGCAGCTCGGCGAGGTCCCCTGATGCCCCTACACCACCCTACGCAAGCCCATCTGGGCCAGCGTTTCCTCACCTGGATGGGTCGGCCTCCACTGAGAAAGGCCCCTTCACGTGGACGGCATTCCGCTTGTTTTCAAACATACCGTAGCTCAGTGTCACCTGTGGGGAGGGGGCGAAGTGATGCAGGGAGGGGCCCTGACATCCCCAGGCCCTGCCCCAGGCTGGCCACACAGCTCTGAGTGAGGCAATGGCCCTGCCTTGGCCTCCCTTGGACCTGGAAGGACACCTGCATTGCACACCCCAGGAATAAGGTCTCAAACTGGGGACCAGCTGGGGCCGGCTGCATCGCCAGCCGTGGGCAAAATACACACAATAGGCGCATCACAGCGAAGAGAAGAGACGGCAGGCAGGAAAACAAGCCGCCGTAAACAGCTTTCAGCTCATGGCAGGAATGACCCCCCGGCTGACAGTGATGCGCTGCCTGGCCTCCCTGTTTGGAACAGTACCCCCACCCACTGCGCCCCTCTCGGCAGCCACGCATCCCTTCCTGTGCTCCGAGTCCTGGCGGGGCCCGGAGGATGGTGCACCTGCTCGTGGAGCTCTGAGGTGAGCACCTGCTGCAGGTTCTCCAGGTGGGAGTGGAAGAGGCCGCTGCGGATGAGCGGCACGCCCAGCAGGGCCTCCACGATGTAGCCAATGGTGCAGTCATCAGGCAGCCGGATCCGCTCGGCAGTGTTCATGAAGTGACCCCCGCTGTGGGAGGGAAGGGCCCAGACCGGTGAGCAGAGGCAGGAGCCATCTGCTGGGAGCTGGGGAGGCCCCACTAGGCAAAGGCGCTGCACTCAGAGAGGAGCCCTGGAGACAGCTCTGAGCTGCAGCTCCCTCTGCCTCCCCTGGCCACAGCCAGGGCACACTCCCTGCACGGCTCCTGTGCTTGGTGGCTCTCTGTGGTGGGAATCTGGGTGCAGGAAGGAGTCCTGCTGGATGGTGCCTGGGGTGCTCATGGCCCCCCTGGCTGCTCTGAGCAGGTTGGGCTTGGGGGCAGCCGCCATAAACACAGCTGCCCTCTGAAACCCAGAGGGAAGTGGAATATAGACAGTAAATGGAGGAGGAGGCTGGGGACTCCCCACGGCTGGGAAGATGAACCAAGCCAGGCCCCACGATGGCGAGGAGCCCGGGACCCGGCTGGCCTAACTTGTGCAGGGCACTCACCTGGCCCACGGGCTCATCTTCAGAGCCAGCCCACGACTGATGCAGAAGCCAGCGCCGCCCGTGGCAAACCAGAAGTGGACAGGACGCTGGGAGAAGGGAGAAGGTGTCCTGAGACCCGGGTGCTGCTGCCCCTTGCTGTCCCCCGCCCCACTCCAGGTGTACGCTCCGCGTGGGCGTGGGGGACTGGGAGAGGGCAGGCACTCACCACCTTGTTCTCGCTGACCCGTTCCGTGGCCTGGATGGGCCTGTCCAGGCTGGGCTTGCCGATGTAGATGTCCCGCGTGTGCGGGTAGCTGGCCAGCAGCCGCAGCAGGGCCCGCAGGTTGACGTAGTTGTCATCGTCCACGTGGCAGAACCACCTGAGGACAAGGCAGGGCCATCGGGGGAGGGCATGCCGGGGCGGGCGCTGCCAGGCTCGGGCAGGGAGATGGGGGTCCCCCCGGGCCACACTCACTTCCTGCCGGACTCGATGAAGTGGTCATACTCCACGGCCATCTTGCAGGACAGCGCCTGGCGGCTGTGGGCAGCCGAGCAGTTCGTGATGACCACATTGCCTGTGGACGGGGGAGTGGCTGTGAGTAGGTCTGAGTTGGCTCCCAGAGAGGGGCCTGGCCTGGGGGACGCTGCGGGGCCCAGGGACTCGAGAAGAGACCCCTAGTTCAAGCTGGGCCCGGCCCTAGCCTCCCCCACCCTAGCTCAGGGCTCGGGCCTGCGGACCCTCCCCCAGCCCAGCCCCCTTCCAGGGCGGCCCCGCCCCCGCCCATTCAGGCAGTTTTTTCCCAGCACCCGCCACCTGTTGCCGCTGCCTGGGCTCAAAGGGACCCGGGGGGCTGAATGGGCTTCATTTGCATGAGAATTGGGGGGCCCCGCGTGGTGGGGCGGGACGTGGAGCAAACCCCATGAGTAAACTGCCCTCCTTGTCCTGCCCTTGGTGACCTCTCAGCCCAGAGGAGCCAGGAGGCTGGAGGGGGAGGGTTCCGCTCTGGATGGAGGCCTGGGCCCCCTCCCGCCCCAAGTCCAGGGCTCACCCGTGTGCCTGGCCAGGGCCTCATCTTCCCCGTCAGTGAAGATGAATGTCTGGAAGGAGAAAATCAGCCCTCAGCAGCCAGCCCTTCATCCCCACCCCAGGGCCATCTGTGGGGGCCGGATGGGGCACCCTGGAGTTGCTGCAGCTGCAGCTCTGTCACACTGACACCCACCCTTCTCTGGGCCTTGGTTTCCCCACTCATGCAGAGTAGGGCTCAAGTGCCCCATCTCAGTGCCATCTGGGCCAGGGCTCACGCATTCACTCGCCCTGGGGGTGGGGGATGGGGCCTCACTCCCCAACCTCGACAGCTGCACCCAAGGTCGTCCAGGCACGGTGAGGCACGAGCCAGGTGGTGCGCCTTGCCCGCCCGCCAGGTAACCGGTTCCCGGCCCACCCCGTGCACCTGGCGGGCACACACCCTTATTGACACAGCACCCGGCCTGCCACTTGGAGGCTGCTGGAAAGGCAGGGGACAGGCGGGGTGGCGGGAGGGACAGGCAGAGGAGGTCGGCTTTGGGAAGCCAAGTCTCAATCACTCGGGGTTGGGGACAAAGGCCTTTGCTGGGCGGCTGCCAAGCCCTGGCGGACAAAGGGCCCGGAGGGAGGATGAATCACCAGGCATTGTCCGCCAGCTTTGTCCTGGGCTGGCGGGCGAGGGGCGCCGGGCCGGCCTTAACTCGGCCGAGTTAAGCAGAGTGGCCACACCACCCATTACCATACAGCTGGCCTGGTTAACCGGGCCGAGCTGGGCACGAGGTCCCGCGGGTAGGGTGCAGCCACCAGCAGTGCAGCCCCCACCCCCAGCTGCCCTTTGGGCCAGCACCCCTGTCCTGGATGGCCTGCAGGACAAGTTACCCACTCTGAGCCAAAGCAGCCCTGAAGTTCTGCAAAGTTGCTGACGGTCAGCAGGGTTGTAGCAGGAAACCTCAGGTGTCCCCAGGCCCCCAGTACCCACGCAGCCCAGCACCCCTCCCACTGCTCAGGCAAGGAAACCCAGGCTTGCCCAAGGCCACAGCCCACCTGTGCCAGCACGCGGCTGCCCCCTGCCAGGAGCACTCTGCAGAAGAGGAGGGGGCCGCCAGGGTGGGGCCAGGAGTCGCCAGCGCCCGCCTGGGCCTGCCGGCACACGGGGAGGAATGTTCCTTCCTTTGCCCGGCCCGCCCAGCGCGTGCCGCCCGGCGCACCCTGGCATGGCTGAGTGCAAAACCCAGGGTGTATGGGCAATGCTCTGACCAAGAGACAACCTCCCCATGCCCACCCGGCCTCAGTTTCCTTCCCTGTACACACAGGTCCCGCAGAGGCCCTGGAACACCTTGGTGGTCTCAGATCCTTGTCCAGCCTGACCCAGCCCTGGGCACATGCTGACTCGGGTGAGGCCCAGAGCTAAGGGGGTGGCTGGCTAGGTCTCTGCCTCTCCATGCGTGCACCCCTCCTGCAGCACCCATAGACACCCCAGGGCAGCCGCACGCACAGACTCGCACCCAGCCCCTTGGCCTCCCCAGCATCTCAGCCCAGGAATGCCGTGGGAGGCGGAGGGCCAGCCCCTGCAGACGCTCCGCTGTGCCGCTGGGTTAAAAGGAAAATGCTTTCTTAATGAGATCAAGGGAGGCCTGTTCTCCCGAGATTTGGTGGTGCCCTAAAAACCCAGCCCAAGGCTACAGAGATTAAAGTCACCTTTGTTCAGCTCAGGGAGCAGGGAGGCCTCTAGAACAGCATCTGAGAAGGCGGGGCTGTGGGCTGTGGGGGTGCCGGGCCAACTATCTCCCCACACCTGAACCACCAGGAGGGGAGGAAAAAGGCCTGCCGGGTTATGGGCCTCACCCGCCACTCAGAGCCCCCATCTCCTTTTCTGTAAAATGGGCATAACAGAGCTCGCCTGGGCAGAGAGCAAAGTGCAGAGACAGATTCTCTCCCTTCTCCCTGACAGTCCTGGGAGGGGGGCGCCATTACCAGCTGAGGCACAAGTGGGGAAACTGAGGTCCAGAGAGGTATAGGCACCAGCCTGAGGTCATACCCTGGGGCCGAGGTGGTGCTAGACCAGCCCAGTCCCTGCCCTCTAGGGACCCAGACCCACCAGTGCCACCTAACTTCCCAGATGAAGACGGGGCTGCAGGAGGAAGAGCCGGGTGGATGAGGGTGGATGAGGGTGGATGGGGGTGGGGGGCGGGGGCCGGGGGACACCCACAGGAAGCGGCATTGTTCCTGGAGACGCGATTCAAAGAAACACAGGATGCCAAGTTCTCCCCAGCAATTGTGGCCGCTGCGGTGGCAGCTCGGCAGCCTGGCTGCTCCTGGGAGGGGCGGGGAACCTCTGGGCCAAAGGCCAGGCTCTTCATCCTGGACTCCAGGCCCATCTCGGCGTGGCCCCTGCTGACCAACCGACCCTCCCCCCAGCCACCACTCCAGTTGCTAGAAGTTTCCTGCACAACCCCCACACTGTGGTCATCACCATGCCCGGATGGAGTGCCCTTTCTGGGCACTTTTTTACTCAGTCTAGCTCAAATGGCACCTCCTCCAGGAAGTCTTCCTTCCCTCCCTCCCTTCCCCCAGCATGTGGGTCAGATGCCCACTGTTGCCTCACACAGCGTCTCGGGGATTTCCCCCCACACAGCCCTGACATCTTTCTATCTCCCCCATCAGACCGCGTCTGAGTCATTCCGTGCAGGGCTAGGAGACGGCGGCCCTCTTCTGTGGGTTTCCAGGACCCCTGCCCATCACCCACCACAAGGGGGGCTTTGCTTGCTGTGTGCTGGTGAACTGATGCTGAGGGCCAATTCAACCTTCCCCCTGGTGGGGTGACCCTCCAATAGGGACCTCAGGGCTCAAGGGAGCGATGGCCCCCACCTCGACCCTGAGTGCCCGCCGGGTTCACCCCATGCCTGCAGGCTCTGCCAGTCTCTTACAACATGCTCCTGGAAGGACCATGTTCCCCCATTTCAGAGATGAGAGTAAGGGTCTGAGAAGCTCCAGGTCTTACTCAGGATCACACAGCCCAGCTGAGACCGATAACTGAGACCCTCTGGCAACATCCCCTCTGCTGAAGAAAGGTCCCAAATTCCAAGATGGGAGGTGCTCAGAGCTGGTGGCAGCCCAGAGTGGGGCTGAAGGATGCCCAAGGTCACATAGCAGGAAGGCTTGAGCGCTGGGGGTGGGGGGCCAGGCTCAGGGATGGTGCCCCAAAAGGACTGTCAGGAAGAGATGCTGGCGGGGGGGGGGGGGGGGGCGCTGGCCCCCTCATCGCCAGGCAACCTGAGTGGCCAGCACGCCAGCAGCGGTTCCCACGGAGCGCATAGCTGCACACAAGGGGCCCGACGCCTTTCTCGCTGGAGAAAGGGGCTTTGTTACCTTGCCCAAGGGACCGGCGTGAGAGCCGCCCGGCGCTGGGAATCCTAACGGCCTGGCCGCCAAACAAAACCCACGGCCCCCGCCACCCCCTCCCGCCAGCCCGCTGAGCCCCTGGGAATGGGACGCTGTGTTCCCAGGAGGCTGCCATGGGGTTCCCAGGGCCCCTTCCCCACGCCAGGACCAGAGAGGACCCTGCCCCTCCCCGTCCCCCTCATGACCTCACCAAGCCCTGCTCCCACCCACCCACAGTGCCCCAAAACAGGGCAGTGCCAGGCCAGAAGGCCCTGAGTCTCCCGGGTTTGAGCAGGGAGAAAGGCGTGCGGGGTCTTCCCTGAGCCCCCACCCTTACAGCAAATGCCTCTGCAACTCCCAGCCCAGAGATGCCCCCCTCCACTCCCGACTGCAAGCCCCACACACTGTCCCCATCCCGCCCCAGCCCAACCGTCCTGCTGTGGCCTCGAGGGAAATTTTCAAAGTGGGGTGTGTCTTAATTATGTGTGTGTAAGAAGCTGATGCCCAACTGAAGTGGGTTGTGCCCAAGGTTGCAGGCCTCAGAGACTCCTGCACTGTGCGGGGAGGGTCCCCACACAGACCCCAAACCCGGGGTTCTTTGAGATGTACTCCCCAGGACCCACCAACCAGCAATGATTTCCCTCCCTGCACCTTAACGCAGTGATGAAGAAAAGGCCCAGGGGTCAGAACTCCTCACTTCTCTAAAGAAAGAGCCTTTCTCCCCAGGAAGGGGTCTGAGCTGAGGGTGGATCCGAACAGAATCTGCTTGGGGAAGTTTGAAGGTGTAATGCCCTATGCATGCGCTCCAATGTTTGGGGGTGAAAAGTACCACAGGGCACCAACCCCAAGCACTAGAGACTGGTGTAGGGTCCTGCAGCCATCCAGGACTCTGGAGCTGGACAGGGGGTGAGGCCCCGGGGACAGTCACACAACTGTAACGGGAAATTGGCCCCAGCAGGCAAACTGGCTGCACCGGGGTGCACTGGCGTCGCCGCCCCCAGATGGCCCTAGTGGTTGGATGGGGATGCAGCCTGGCCCCCACGGGACGCTGCCACCAACTGGACCAGACGGTGGGGCCCCGCCCCGCCCGCCCATCCTTCCAGGCCGCCGGGGGCTCACCATCTCCTTGTGGCGCGAGATCCAGGTCTCCAGCAGCAGGTCGAGGCGCGCGCGGTGGAACTTTTTGGTGGTCTTGACAGCGATGAAGACGTCTCGGGGCGCGAGCGGCTCGGCCAGGGGACGCGGGTGGCTGTCGGCGGGGCGGGGGGAGGCCCCGGGGGGCGGGCCCGCGTCTCTGCGCGCGCGAGTGAGCAGGCTGAAGTACTCGGACAGACTGTGCACCTCGCGGGCCAGCGCCCCGGGCGCCGCCGCCGCCGCCCCCAGCCCAGGCGCCGGGACAGCCCCTGCGGGGCCCGCCAGGCTGCGCAGCGCGCGCCGGCCTCGCTCGGCGGGCAGCGGGGGCGGCGGCGGATCCGCAGTGAGCACTAGCAGGCAGGCGAGCAGCGCGCCAGCCAGCGCCAGCAGCAGGCGCCGGCCGCAGCGCTTGAGCATGGTGTGGCGGCGGCCGCGCGGCGCGCCCTGCCCCGTGCGCCTGCCGTGCACCGCCCCGAGGCCCCTAGCTCCGGCGGCGCAGTACAGCAGCGCAGCGCGAGCGCCCGGAGCTCTTAAACCTCCCCGCCCCGGTCCCGCCCCCGCGCGCTCATTGGCTCCCTCGCTCGGGGGCGGGGCCTCGCGCCAGTCGAGGCTCCAGGCCTGCAGACCCACGTGGGGCCGCGGCTGGGGGCTGGGAACGACCCAGAGAGCGCAACGGCCCCGCCCCCGGCGCGCACGTGCACGCCCCGCCCTCCTCGGGTAGCCCCTGCGGGTTGCTGAGGGGCTTGGGGACTTGGGCCCGGCCGGCGCCGGTGTCCCTGAAGAGGAAATCTAGCCTGGCCAGCGCCGGGCGGGGATGCACCGGGCGTCCGCGCACGGGAGGGGCGCACCCTTGGCGCAGCGGGCAGGGTGCTGGGCCCCGGGCTCAGGGCTCCGACGGACCGCGGGGGACATCCTACTTCCTCGCTGTGCCCTTCCCCTCCTGAGCCCGGCTTCCTCCCCTTGGGACGCAGCAGGCCCTGCAAACTGGGGTGGCGACTGGGTCTTCCCGAGCGCTCGGTTCAGGGGAACCGTTATTTGTACAGAGCAAGAGCTTGGCCACCTGTGCTGCAGGTGGGGACACGAGGTTCTGGCGAGAAAGCACCAGAACCAAATTCCACTCCTTCCTCCTGGGCTAATTTCCTCGAGTCCCGGCCCTCCGTCGGGCGGGTTGGCTCCCCGAAATCCTCAGGCGCCCCGTGGCGAGGAGAAACGAAGGCCGCCACTTCCCTCGCCCGATGAAAGGCCGCCTTCTGTCCCATTTGGTCTCCTTGCGCTCGGGCCAGATGCGGCCCAGCTGTGCGCCCTCCCGGCCCGCCTCCCCGGCACACGGCCCCCACCCCCGGCCCTTCCCACGGGCCCGGGCCCGGGCCCGCCCCTCGCACGAGCGGGGGCGGCAGGAATGCGCGCCGGCAGCCGAGGGTGAGGGGCGAGGGGCCCGGAAGTGGCCAAGGGTCCCCTGAGCAGGGTGTGAGCCCCCTGCCCTCCACGTCCTCCGGAAGCGTGGACGGGCGTGGCTCTGCGCGTGGCTGCGCTGCCTTCCCGTGCCCTCCTAAGCACGGTCTCTGCGACCACCACGACCACCATCGCCACCACCACCGTGGCTAAACTGCTCCCCTCGGACGCTGACAGTTATGTTCACGCCTGAGATGGCATTTTAAATTATTTAAGTGCCCCTTGGCGCTCCTCTCCTTTCCTCTACCTGAACGTCAGCCGCAAGACAGCAGCGACCTCATGTCATCCCGACCTGGAACAGGTTTTGGGACATCGTAGGTGCTCTGAAAAAATTCACTGGATAAGTGTCTGGCCCCACTGTCAGACCCCCTCTAAGGACGATGTAGCCCATTTGCTCTTAGGGCCCCAGGGGCCCCACCCCTAGCCCCTGTACCGGCTGGGCGGTGTGGGGGATGGGGGTTCCCAGGCCTCTTCCTGGCCCCAGGTAATTAGCAGTCACCACCTCCGAAGGCAGATGCCCCAGCAGATGGTGCTGGCTGTGCCCAAGTGACAAGTCTCCCATGGCGTCACCTCCTGCCATAAACCCCTCCCCGATCAGCCAGAGCCTAGCCCTGGAGCCTCCAGGCAGCTGGAGAGGCTTGAGGGTGAGGCGGGGAGAAAGGACCCAGTGGCTGGGTTGGCTGCCCCCACAAAAGTCAGCTGAGCCCCAGCCCAGCCCCAGCCTCCGGACTGAGGGGTCTCCATGCCCCCACGTGCTTCACACCGATCACTTCAGCCTCTCCCATATCTGCATTGTTTCAGAGAGGGAGCCATCTCTTCCCTGGATCGCTTAGGCAGCGTCCACTCCTGTCCCACCCACTCCTATCCTATTTGCTTTGCTTATTCTCCACGCTAGGATCATAGCCACTCACACACCCACATGAAGAACAAAACCCTCCATAGCTCTCCACTGGCTGAGTTCAAGTCCCGCCTGATGTCCACACACCTCGTGACTTAGTCCTAGCTCTGTTTCTTGAGGCCCAATCCCTCCTCATTCCCCAGCAGCCAAGCATGACCAAGCCCCCAAATCTTTGGATGGGCTGTGCTTTGTATCTGGACTTTACATCAGTGGCACCGATGGTGGGTGCCGTGCCACCCTGCACCCCACCTGACAAGGTGCTGTGAGTCCGTCTCTCCACAGTTCCCAGGCCAGGGGGTGGGACTTCCTGCCCTGAGCCCCCCACCACCCCTGCTCCCCAACTACCCCTGACTGCGGTGCCTTTGACCCAGCAGGTCGTGGGAGCAAGGTGCCCATTGTACAGAAAGCAAGGGGGATATTGTGCCAAGGGAGTGACTATACAGAGGTGAATGGCCCAGCCTGGCAGGGGCACATGCATAGAACTGGGTACGGAGGTTCCGCGTCTCTGTGTGGTCAGGAATGGAGGAGTGGGGGACCTGATGCTGCTGCCTGTCTGGAAGCAGCGGGAGGAAGCTTTACAGCATTCTTGTGGGGGCCGCAGGCTTTGGCAAGAGTGAATCA